GCTATGCAGAAGAAAATGTCTTGCTAGCTTCCTGTAAGCATATAAGCTTCTCTAACCTATGCTATTTTTCCATGAGGTTCACTTAGGTTAGATAGTTTTGATGCTACTAAAAAAGGCAGAAGAAGAAGAAGAACAAGAAGAACGCTCAATAAAATCATTAAACAAGACATTCTGGTCAATAACATATCTAGACTAGACTTGTGTTGAGAGCACAATGACGTCATGCGATTCATATAGTCAACCCATCTAGTGGGATAAGGCTCATTGTTATTGTTGTTGTAATAGTCATATATCCTGTCTTTGATATCCATATAAATGAAAGTTCATGATTAATCTGTTAAACCATGTGGAACTAGTGATTGACTATGTTATTGTGTCTTTTAACCATTGCATATTTGTCTCCTTAATTGTCTTATTTTATATAAATCCTCTGGTTCTTGTTCTGTTACTTTATAATTCGTAGTTGTATTGATTATTTCTGAAAAATCAATATCTCTAGATTCTAGTAGAAACTTATGCTGTTTCGGTCATCGGAGAAGCAGAGAATCCTAGATGTTTTGGAAAATTTGTGAGTTGAGGGTATAATTATTCCAGTGATAACGAGAGTGGGGAAAAATGGTCATGCCTCCCACAACATTCTATGTTGATATTTGCATTACTGATCATGCCTACTTCGTGAAATATGTTGTTCTTTATGTGGAGTTTTATAATGTAAGAAACTTCTTCTTTACAGCAATGACAAATGAACAGCTGATTGATAGGGGGAATCGGATGATGGACGAGACAGATCAAGCCATTGAGAGGGGAAAGAAGGTAGGTCTAATATCTTGAATAACAGTTGCGTCATAAAAACTAGGTCAATTGAGACTTTAGTAAACTGAGTTTGCTTTGTCTGGGAAAGTTGGTTGAACCGGTCGTAGTAAATGATGCTAATTTGCCAATCCATTAAATGAGGGTTTGTTTGGCGAGAGAGAACATTACACATCAAATTTCATGTCCACTATTCACTTAATGGGTAGTTACATATATCACTTCTGAGGGATCATCCAACCCAACGGCGTTCCTTCTTATTACAGAAATTGGCTGAATCTATATACATATTTATTTACAATCCTTTCTGTTTGAATACCTCCGGCTGATAATTTGGCATCACGTTGATTTCTGTCAATCACTCTATTAATAGGTTGTTGAAGAGACAATAAATGTCGGGGTTGAGACTAATGCAGCTCTTAAGGCTCAGGTATGTGCATGCTTGTTATGCCCCCTTCCCAAAAAAAGAACAGAAGAAATTGGAATCAAATAAAAAATAGAAGGGTGGGATGGGGTATGTCTAGAATTCAAACTCTTCCAATGTAGCCAAAAAAAAGGTGAAGAAGAAACAGAATACTTTAAGTTGTTATGGTACTAAGGACAGCAATCTCTTCTATTTTTAGACGGAACAAATGAGCAGAATCGTCAATGAGCTGGATTCTATCCATTTCTCCATAAAGAGAGCAACTAAATTGGTGAAGGAAATCGGTAGGCAGGTCAATTTCTACGTTATCCCCCGGTTGCATTGTAATATTTGAAGTATATTTATTTGCTATTGGTTAACATGCCGGAGTTTTACAATAGGGTGCTACTGACAAGTGTATTATGGCATTACTGGTTCTTATTGTGATTGGAGGAGTAATAGCTATCATTATTGTAAAGGTAAGAGTTAGTTTTCTTCCGTATGATTTTATCTGACTTCTTATTCTTGGTTTTCCTTTTTTTTCTTTTTTTGGCATTTCACGGTGAATAAATTTAGCTTAGATAATTTGTTTACAAATAGGGGAAGCAATTGGTTAACTGTAATTAACCAGGTGCTTGTGCTTTCCAGTTTCTTGCCTGACAGCCCTTGATTTCCCTTCATGTGTGTGTTTTACTGAAAATGTTCGCTTCTGTGCCACTGTTTCTGAATAACTAATCCATGCAGCCATGTGATAAATTTGAAAGAAGTTAGAAACTGTTAGCAATAGCAAACATATAGTTGCAATAACAAGAAATTATAGCTGCTAATATGTTTGTATTCGAAAAATGTTCATTTGTGAGCTACTGAATCTTGTGATTTTTCAATAGATGGTGATAAGAAATTTCTGTCAGATTATGGTCATTTTATATACACATCACGACCTAATAAAAAATGCATGTAGTGTCAATATCGAGTCAATTCCGCCACCAAACACTGTGGTTTAAATTATCCAGCAGCAATAAGATGACAACGTACATAAGTAGCTGTTTTTTCAAATTTCAGATCGTGCACCCAAACAACAAGGACATTCGGGATATTCCAGGATTAGCACCCCCAGCCCAGACCCGGAAGTTACTTTGGGATCATAGTTGAGCTACGATTTAGTGTGTGAGTTATGAGCTCATCCGATTAGTTTGCCTGTTCTTTGCTTTGACGGTGATGAGGTTGGCTGCAGCTGTTTTTACATGACAGAGCTTGCTCAGTTGCTTTTGCATTGGACGTGTTGTTTCGTAATTTTCTATAGAGATTGGCTGACCTGAGAATGATGGACCAGGCTCTCCTTTAGTGTGGTTACAGGGTTTCATGATTAATTATTCATTGAATGGGGAAAATTTTCTATGGAGCTACCGGGTCACAGGAATAGCCAAAATGAGCTGACGTGATTGATTCTTAGATGTATTTTTATGCATGCTGTCGGTTTTCTATGACAAGCTAGCAGTGTCATTTCCATTGAGGGAATTTGTTCAATTATTTTTTATTGGACAAAGAATTTATTCTATTATTATATATATTTTGTTTGGTGAGCCCACAGATAGTATTACCCGTAGTATCTGGATTTTTTTTTTTTTGAAAAAAAAGTTGTTAAAGGCATAGATTTTCAGTGTGGAGCTATAGTTGTTCCTGGGAAGATGTTAAAAAAAAAAAAAACCTTTTCTTTAGTTTTTTTAATTTGGGGGGGGGGGGTTGTCACTGAGACCTCACCTGAGAGTGTATTTAATATCATATTGAAATCTATCATAGTCTCAAACGCACTAGCGTTATATTTATTTTAAAACGTAAGTGCAGCTACAGCGGAATTGCCCTAAAGTTTGTGAACATAATAATCCCGCAAAGAGTCATGAAACAAGCAACAAACCCACTTTTTTAGCCCAATACGACATGGGAGAATGTTAAAAGAAGCTGTATGGCCACGTTCGGATGGTTTTCTATTTCAAACTAGGTAGCTGAGATTGGTGGCCAAACAATGAAATTCTCCTGAGTGCGTCAATTTAACTTATCCGTCTCTTTTTCACCTCGAAAATTTTAGTATTCGGTGCTGCTAACAAAGAGGTTTCTTTCTAATGATCTTCACATGCTAATGGAGGTCGGTAATGATCCAAATCTCCAAATCACCAATGTGGTAGGTGCCGATGATCGCGGTGGCTTCACAAGAATCCGAATCGAATTGGGGGTCCTCATTCATCATTGGACAATACAACACAACTTCGTGGGAACATGAAGCTGTGAATTGTCAAACCATAAAAACCAGAACAGTCTATTCCCACACTCTTGACTTCCCACAAAACCATTGTCTGACCAAGTGGTTTGTCTTTAGTACCACTTTTGTCTTTTGTTTCTCTAATGGGTACCTCCCTTTTCTTGACTTTTACTCGACTGAATAAATTAACTGAGAGTTTTTTTTTCCTACTTGCTTGTCTTTCCAACGTTCTGCCCCGCACGAGAGCAATGGGAACTAGTAAAACGGGGACGAAGGTTCATCTGTGTGCGCTTCTGTTTTCTTAGCATTTTCTTATTCATTGAAGAATCATCTAGTATTCTGCTAACTTAATAATTTTCTTTATTCGACTTGCATACAAACATTTTTAAAAAGTGTTTTTGAGATAACCAAACACCTCTTAAGTTCTATAAATTTGTTAGTGAGCCAAAGATGATGGGTGCTAGACTTTTCAGTTTTAAGAAGTATTTGGATAGAAACAAAACTATGATTTTGATTTTACAGTCTACAAAGTAAATATGTGGATGGGTTTATTTCGATTTACGAAAAAATACTTTTAAAAAAACACTTATGAACTCATCCAAACACTCCCTTAGTAAGATAATATTTTTTAGAGAAGTGTTTAAATTTCATTCAAAAATGTCTGATTACATGATTACGTAGTTTAATTTTTCTTTTCCGCAACACATAATTAGCTTTTTGAACGTTTTATTTTAGTGTGGTAGGTAATTTTAATCTAGTAGAAGTATTTATATAATTAATATCTTTAATATAGTCATATTAAATTTCATCCAAACTTCAAAGCCAGCCGGATTTAACGTTTTGCTTGAATGAACACTATTTATTAAGAAAAAAATTCTTTGTTTATCTATGATATTTATTAAAAGTGTTTACTTATGTCGTTATTTAAAAAAAGAGATGATATCTCATTTATAAGCCACTATTCAATTCCTTAAGATAATCATTAAACAAGGTTATTTTTAAAAATATAGTCCTCTGTGATATATTTATAACTTGCAACTGGATTTATCTATTTTTATCTTGATGTTTATTTTATATAAAAAGCAATGAGGGATTATTAACTAGGGAGAATCCCATTAAAAAAAAAAAAAAAGCTTCAAGTTTCAAAAGAAGAAGAAAGAAAGGGATGGTTAAGGTCGGCCAAAAAAAAAAGGGAAAAAAAAGAAAAAAGGAAAGGGATGGTTAAGTCAATGTCACCCCCGGAAGGGTGCTGTGCGTGTGGCGTGGCACCTCATTAAGAGCAGTCCGTTGAATTGCCATTGACGCTGCCTCATCTTCGAAGCTCCAGGTTTGAAAAATCTCTTTTATTTATATGTAGTCTCTGGGAGAAAAAATTGGGTCTCGCTTCCCTATATTCCTTCCCTGAACGCTGTGGCTATCTTCCGCAGCTTCTCATCTCTTTCGGGGCTTTCCCTTTCTCTAAATTAATCCTTATTCCAATAATTATTCAATTCCTTCCACTTCACGCAACTCATGTGTTTGAATTTCGGGAATTCTCAGTTTCTCTAGGTTCGGCTGTTTTTTTATTGACCAGCTTGTTTCTGCTTTTATTCCCACTGAATTTCCATCTTCAATGCATTATCATTCTCTTTTTACGTATCGTTTTTTCAACTCTGTTTCCCATCTAATTCTCTGCTCTGAATCCCTTCCTCCTCAGCCTCTCAGCTTTCTTCTTTCCAGCCTGTGAATCTTCCTTTCGTTGGAAAAACCCTGTTCGTTTAGTGTGAAAATTTAGAGTCGGCGATAACATTCCTTAATCGGGAACATCGCTAAATGAATGTTTAGAAAATGAAGTGCTTCTTGTTCAAATTTAAAAGAGGATCGAAGTCCTCCTCCTCAGAAAGAAGAAGAAACAATCACACAAGAATCATCCGGGTTCAAATCAGGCAGTGACTTCAACGAGTTCGCTGCCATCACCGAAAACAATAACAGAATTGTACAAAGAGAAAGAGCACAATTTGAGAGTTTTCACTTTGCAAGAGCTCAGGGAGGCCACGAATGATTTCAATAGGAGGCTGAAGATTGGAGAAGGGGGTTTCGGGAGCGTTTATAAAGGTACGATCAGGCCTCAAGATGGTCGAGGTGTCATTATTGTATTGCGATAAAAAGCCTTAACACCCGTGGTTTTCAGGTATACCGGCTTCTGCGGCTTTGTTCTTGTCTAATCCTCTTTCTTTATTTTTACTTTCTCCAATTGTTTTCTGCAGTGAGTAACTCTTATCTGCTCCAGTAGCTGACAGTTAAATTGGCCTAGGCTGATAGTTATTAGATAGAGAGGACATTGTTCGTGTTTTATATTTAGTAAATTTTTCTGGGCTAAGCAGTTTTGAAGAGGTGTACTAAAAGAAGTTAATTGGGAACTTTGAAACCCAATTGTTTCTTCCTTCACGTGTCAAGAACTATAACAATCCATATTAGTAATATTTGTTGAGCATAAGAAATATTGTAGTTGACATATACATTATTATATCGGTGCCATCTACAGAATTTATATTATGGTTTATCTGCTAATCATATCCAATTGTTGAGTGTCTAAATCTGAATTATCATGACACTTGCACATTGTAATAATATCTGCATTAGCTATATCTCTTTCTGAATGTAGTCTTCTTTCTTGTTAAGGGGCATAAACAATGGCTGGCAGAGGTCCAATTTCTGGGCATTGTTAATCACCCAAATTTGGTGAAACTATTAGGATACTTCTCTCAAGATGGGAGAAAGAGGAATCCAACGGGTGTTAGTTTATGAGTTCATGCCCAACGGGAGCCTGGAGGATCACCTTTTCGGACGGGCTTTCCCCACCTTGCCGTGGAAAATGAGATTGCAGATCATGCTCGGTGCTGCCCAAGGATTACTTTATCTACACGAGGAATTAGAGATTCAGGTACTTCATCCTTATAACGTTTCGTATCTGTGAATTGGGCATTCAAACCCCTACTTTTGTTGATAATCTTCTTGATTGTTTATTTGGTAGGTAATATACCGAGATTTCAAATCTTCCAATGTTTTATTGGACACGAACTTCCATCCAAAGCTTTCGGATTTTGGTCTTGCTAGGGAAGGTCCAAGTGGTGACCAGACTCACGTGTCCACTGCGGTAGGTGGATGGTGGATTGAACCTTGTATTACCAAGTCAAAATAGAGCAGCTTTGTTTCTTTTGACCAAAAAAAAAAAAGCAGCTTTGTTTTGACATTCTTTAAAATTATTTGAGCTGACACTACCGACGTTTGTGTCTTATGCTTGTTGTCAGGTGGTGGGGACATATGGATATGCTGCCCCAGAATATATAGAAACAGGCCACCTCAAAGTTCAGAGTGATATATGGAGTTTTGGTGTGGTATTGTATGAGATACTTACAGGGAGGCAAGCATTGGATAGAAGGCGACCGAAAGAACAGAAGCTTCTAGATTGGGTCAAGCAGTATCCTGCTGATAGTGGGAGGTTCAGCGTGATAATGGACCCTCGACTCAGAAATGATTATTCGCATGGTGCTGCTCGGAAGGTAGCCAAGTTGGCAGACAGATGCTTAAACAAGAGACCGGAAGAAAGGCCATCTATGAGTCAGGTAGTGGAAAGCTTGAAGCAAGCATTGCAGTATTCAGAAACTTCAAAAAGGGCTTCTAAATTGGTTCCAAAAAGCAAATAGTGTAACTCTTAGCTCATGTCATGCGTAAGTTGAATGCGTTTTCTGGTCATCTGGTCCCACGAAGCCAGGTCCCGTCTTTATCCAAAACTAGCTTTCAACGCATATTGGGAACATATCATCATCAGCGCAATGAAGGGAAGGCTGTCTCGTCTAATAGGTATCTATACCGAACTTAGTTTCCACAGCATCAGGTCAATAATCGAAATGCTGCAATTTTTCTCTTTTATTTGGCTGTGTGGTGAATGAGAAGCTGCCATCTGTTCCTAGAACACTGAGGAAGTCTATACCCAATTTCAGCCTTCAGGGAATGGGTAAGAAGGAAGAAATGTACTCAGTTGGCCGACTCCGGGGCAAAAAAAAGTGTTAGAAGCGCGTATTCTATTGCGGCTGCCAGCTGGAGATACTTTAGGAGGGGTCATTTATTTCCATATTTTTTTGGGCCCCTTTGCCATGGGGTTCTCTAATTCAACCTCCTGTAAACAGTTTTTTCTTTTTTTTTGGTTTCCCCAGTGGGAACTTGAAGAATAATTAATGAAGTTTTCTTATTATATTAAGTGCTTTGACTTTTGACTAGTGGAAGTTCAACAGATTAAATTATTAATAATGGTTTTGTTTGTGAGGCGTAGTTTTGAAAGAAATGGGTATGGCAACGTCAAGAGGACTTGCTGGCATTGACTTGAATGAAACTAATAATACATATTTTGAGCCGACTAGAAATAAGGCAAAGTGATGGTAGAGTGTGGACAATTGACAATACTAATAATTGGAAGCAACGTTGACGAATGAGGCTACGGTGATTAGTGATTACAACCGTGTGACCGTCGGATCAGATTTTCTTTATGCTTTTTGGCCGATATTTATTTAACAAGTATTGAAACTTTTACTTTAATTAATATTAATATAAAATCTAAAATCTAAAAATATCATAATATTTTAAAAACTTTTAATAACAAGTAAGCAATCAAAACCTGTTTTTTTTTTTTTCACGTGCCAACTTATGATTGCATGTTTCTCAAATGTTATAGAATTTTTGGGTCGGGTCTTACAGTGATTTTTCTCTTTTTGTAGGAAGTGAGTGCCTAAGCCCATATTTCTAATCCAGTTCGCCGAACAAGGTTTATTCATCAATTTTGGGCCTCCGATATTTTTCTAGGCCTTAATTGAGAGCGGCTCCGTTCCAGAGCAGGAGTCGCAACTGTCAAAGCGGGTACTGAAACCTGAAATGATGTGAAGAATTCTGTTCAGCTGAAATGGAGAAGACTCAGAAGAGCTTCACTCTCATTCAGACTGTGGCCACCGCTGGCATTTTCTCTGCGATCTCGTTTTGGTGACTATCTTCCCCCCCTTTTCTCCTTTTGTATTAGGATTCTTCATTCTCATTAATTCTCTGCATCAGGTACGGTTTCATGTTCGGCAGAGAGTCCTCTCGCAAAGAGCTTGGTGACTTAATCGAAGATCTCCGTCGGGGAAACCCTTCCTCCGGTTCTCATTCTTGAATCGGTAGTTCTCGTCTCTCTTCGTGGTCTCGCTTTTGGACTTCCTTGTTTCCAGTGCCCATTGAATTCGATCTCACTTCTAATTGATTTGCGATTTGCGCAATTCAATACAAAGTTAACTGTTTGTAGATACGGCAGACTATTTTCCTACTGTAGGCTTGTAGCCTTTTCATGCACAATTATCATTTGGCACTTGTCCTTTGATGAATAAGCTTCGTGTTGACTCATTTTTATGCAATGTCGAAGCAGGGTATAGCGATGTGAACGACTTTGATGAGTTGGCTGGTTACGAGGCGATTCCTGGATCATGTTCAGCGGCATGTTTCATACACTCCTTGGCTAATTTTGAAAGACTTTGCAATTCTTATCTGGGCATAAGTCTATTTCCCGTAGTCTTTAGATTCCGCACAAGTCTTGGTTTGTACTTTGTGTGCTTTCAAAATACACTGGACCTCTGCCTTGACAATATTGTAAGTAGTGTTAAATGTAGGGGTTGAATGTTTCACATTTAACTGTGGGAGAATACGCTAACTTATTGAATACGCACAGCTCTATATGTTGAGTTTTAATGATTTCTATTCGTGAAATGCGGCTGCATAAATCCTTGATTCTTGGCGTCATTCTATCAGTAACTACAGAAAATAAGGCTTCTCTCCGTGTGAACTTCTTGGCTTATCGACAAGATATGTTACCGCCTTTTTTCGCTCTTGCTGTCTTTGGCTCGCACGAATTACTTCATTCTGAGAAAAGCAGTTTATTTACCTCAATGTTTTTGAACATTTCTTCTTGTTTTTAGATTGTACGAGTACTTTATGGATGATCAAAGCAATTTGAAAGTATAGAGAATCGAATATGTAACTTCCAATTTATGATTTAGACGCTGATCATTGAGCAGTTTAACCTTGCGGTAATAATCCGAGATCTCTTTAGTAAGTGTTGATGATCAATGTGAATAGTTTTCCGAATTTGCAGAATTATATTTCCAGGAAACTACATATTGGCTTCATCGTGACATCAAAGGTTCATGCATTGCAGTATGAAAGATTATTTTAGGAATATGGACTATGTTTTTCTCCAGGTGAGAATTGTGCTAGTCTATAGCACTGATATACTTAAGAGAGAAGTTGGTGCTTTTAACTATAAACAAGAAAACACAACATGCTCTTATTCTATGACAGAAGTGAAGTGTTTGTTGTATATAATGAGTTTCGTGGCCCCCTGGGTGTCTCTCCCAAACAACCGACATCGCGAATAAAGTACGATATCAGTATGCAGTGGATATTTAGGTATAAAGGTTTTATCCAATGACACTGGACTTATATACATGACATGAACAAAATAATTTCTTCTCCACCATCGCAGGTTTTGGCATGGCACAACACGGATGCCACAGTTCTGTATTCGTGTCACAACTTTTCCACTTTTCTCTGTTTCTCTGTCTTTTTATGATTTTGTTTCCGTAACATCTTACTGTGTACTCTTAAAAGATATATATACCCCACGGCGCCTGAACATGCCTCCGTAAATATTCACACAAGAGCAACGTGTTGATCTTGATATTGTTTCTTCTTAGTGCCTTTTATATGACCGACGTACAGGTCCGTCCCAATGGAATCACAATGTGGAAGTCCGTGTCTCCGACCGTCTTCAGACATGCTTCTCACGAAGTCCACGAGGTGTCTCCAATTATCTCCTTCGAACAGCTTCTTATTCATTCTAAGGTATGTAAATGCAGCCAATCCATTGCCCGAGTCTGATCTGCTTGTTGCCAAGACTTGAGCATAGGAATGTGCATCATATCTCTCCAGTGCATTCTCACCAGCAAGTTCTACTCCAGCTTCCTTAGTTGCCATCTTCACTTGATGAACTAACCCTTCTGGTGAGCAATTTGCATGTTCTGGCTGCTCTCTGTCTCTCATTTCCATGCAGGTGAAATTGAACACAACCCTATGTTTTGCCAGCATTCTTGCTATTGGTAGATAGCCGTCACGGAATCTAGTGTTGTAGTATCCAGCATTTAGCTCAGAAGCATGCGACCTTGATCTGTAATGCCAGTGGATTCCGGCAATTTTCCCGGAAAGTTTGACCCCACAATGTTGGAAAATTTCACTGGCAGATGCGAGGATCACGTCGCCATGTTGGAGCAGTTTGGTGGAGTACCAGTCCAAGAAGAAGTGTCCGTACTCGGTGTTCCACGTTCCGTCCCTTTTGAAGAATCCAGTCTCCTCTGGGAATTGATTGTAGTGGCCAGCGTCATGCGGTCCGCTTCTTCCCCATTCTTTCTTTCCGATGGCCTCTGCTGATGCTTCCAAAGATGCTCGCATATACTGTATGAGTTGTGACAAACTGATCATTTTAGTTACTGAGATACATATTTTTTTGAAATTATATCTTGTGATGACAAAGAATGTCAGAACTATAATTTGAGCCCTTGTTTAGAAAGATTATTCGAAAATTCGTGAATTACCTTGTCATAGCATTGAAATTCCCCTATTCCTGGAAACCTCCAAGTTCCGTTGCTTTCTGGGTAAGATGGATATCGCAGCTCCCCACAAGGACCCATTCCCACTTGAACTTCCTGAAAAAGAGTGTTGTGGTATTAGAATTTAAATGGGCTGCCTATCAAACACACTCTAATTTTAGAATTTAAAAGGATGAAAGACCCATTTTAAGACTACAATTTGACTTGAGAATATAATCCAACTCTAATGCTGCTGGCGGCGGCGGCCCACCAGCATCTAAAAATCAATCTCTTCTATAACAGCATGTATAGTTAATACGATAACATGGAGAAAGCAAGCACAAATTCCCCATTGATTCCAAAATCGTAGCAGAAGAAGAAATTGTGCAACTTACCACAATAACAGTGCCCAAGTGATCTCTAAAAGTGTCGCGGAAGCTCCTCATGTAATCACTATAGACCTGAACAGGCGTCCTTCCTCTTAACACGGGCAGTGAGTCGCAGCCTAACGAGATATACTCAGGATTCCTCCTCCCTGATTTGTCCGTGTAAACCAGGTCCGCGTTCTTGCTGATTTCTTCAAGCACCCATGGCGGTAAAGGGATGCTGAAACACACAATCATCACATTTATGCTTCAATTTAGAGAAATATATAATCTCCCAACTCTGCTTCGTTTCATGTTTTCCCCCGACAGTTGTACTCATATTTTCACGAAAATAATTGAAGTGCGACACAGACAGACATACCTGCAGGTGTCTCCGACATTGCCTCCACACTGATGGAAAGACATGACCACCTGAAGCTTTAAGCCATGTTTCTGCACCATGTTGGCGAGCTCAATATAAGCATCCCAATTATAATTCAAAGGGCCATCTTTTTCCACCAAACCCCACCAAGCATCCACCATCACTCCTTCAACTCCTGCGCTCTTGAGGGCCATCAAACTCGCATTCATCGCTTTTGCCTTATTCAAAGTCCCTCCCATTGTCACGGTGTCTAACGGCAGCATCACGAACACGGGCACCTTCATCCACTCCTTGTGGTCGTGATTGTGACCATGCACAGACGACGGCGCGTGTACTTTCTCCCACTTCTCCTTCGTCCTCCTCGCATGGTGTTGATGATGATGATCACTGTGCCGTTTGGCCTGTGATTCGGGCGTCGAGTTTGAGTGCATGGCTCGCAGGCGGAGCGATGGCTTTATTTTGGCGAAGGAGACTGAAGCAGAGACGACGACGTCGGAAGTTTTGGGTTCTTTCTGGTTGATGAAAGAAATTGAAGAACGAAAAGCTAAAGCCATTTTTGTGTTTGCAGGGGAAGATGAAGGCAGCATGTAGGGAATTACTCAACATGGAAAGCCTTATTTTATAGGAAAGAAACGGTCTAATTTGAGAATTGAAGTGGACAAACCTGGTGGGGTCTGATTCAAAAGTGAAAAAGCGCAAAAAATCAAAGCCATTGGGCTCACATTTGGAATGAGATTTTCTTCTTCTTCTTCCTTTTTCGTTGACGTGTTCCCAGCTCAGCTCCTCCTTTCCTATCTCATGGAAAGTTTAAGACCCACCAAAAGTTACCTGAAGCTTCGATTTTTAACGGTTAACTGCCTAACCTGTTTAAATGGTTTGTCTCCAACATGAGAATGAGGATCATTCTGATTCATAAAACATACTGTTTGGCTGTAACTTTTGTTGTTTGGTCATCCACTCATTCCAAGTTTACCATGTTAGACTATCCTCGAGATTAATAACGAAATTGTTCCAAGAAAAAACTAGACAAGTCGTTTGTTAACAATAGATAGTTGAAATATCTTGACATGATGCAAACCCTTTGATATTTTCTCAGCTATCCCAAGCGATCTGCCGCCTTACTTTAGTCTCTAGTTTTTTCCCCCAAATTAAAATAGCCATTTTGTTAACTAAATCTCTCCAATAAATAATTAGGAGTTCACCTTGCTTTTAATTCATAATTTAAATTTATATTATATTTTCTCTAGAAATTTATTTTTTTTTGAAAAAAAGTGAATATGCAGAAAGAAGTAGGGGTGTTCAAGGCCGGCCCGTCCCGGTCGGCCCGTTCCGGTCCCGATCTTATTGGGACGGGACGGATCCGTCCCGAAATTTTTCGGGACGGGACAAACCGGGACGGGACAAAAAAGGGACCGGGACCGGACGGGACACGGGACAGGGTCGTCCCGTCCCGGTTCCTTTTTTTAAAAAAAAAATTAATTTTTTTAATTTTTTATATAATATCATTTTTTCATATTTTTTTAAGATTTGAGACTATTGTATGGAACTATGGATATATTTATTTAGAGCTTTTATATTTGTTAATGATTTGAGATTATTGATGATTAGAATTTTTAGTAAGTTTTTATTGTGTTAAAAGCTTTTGTTTAGAGTTTTTAATAACTATTATATGTAATATTTTGAGCTTTTGTTTAAGAGTGCCCAAACAAATAAAAAAGATGTTTTTATAAGATTTAAGCTCAAAAAAATATAATTAAAAAAATTAGATTTTTTTTAAAAAAATTAAAAAAAATTAAACAAAATTAAACAAAATTAAAAATAAAATTATTTCGGGACGTCCCGGTCCCGATCCCGTCTCGGATCCGTCCTGTCCCGACCGGGACTGGGACAACCCCGGGACGGGCCGGAACACGGGACAGAAAATCTGTCTCGTTACTGTTCATCGGGACGGAACCGGGACGGGCCTGTCCCGGTCCCGATCCGTCCCATGAACACCCCTAGAAAGAAGTTAATAAGCAAAACAAAGCCAAGAGAGAG